CTGAATTGCACAAAACGCATGATCGCACCGGCTAGTCTGGTGCGCGTTGCCATTTATTTTGTTTTGCAAAAATGAGAGAAGGAATGAGCAGTCGTTTTCAACAAAAATCGCACCAAATAACACCTAGACGTGGACCAAGATGGAATTTCAGGTCATCCTTGATGGTGATATCCATGTATGGCTGCCATTTGAGGAGCGATTTTAATGGCAAAGTTTCAGCTTTTCCTTGAATATGATGCGCAACTTGCCATTTGGGTGCCGACAGACTCGATCCAGGAGCCAATTTCCACAGGAAAAATTGCCAGTACTTCTTGTTGCAGTTTGGTGCTTTTATCTGTAATGAAATGCGTTCACGCTGATTTTATCTCATAGTTCTCTTTTTCTCCTGCTTACTGAAAGGCAGACGTTTACTTTGGCGCTTTCGCTCAATAAAAAAATTACGTAACAAACAAAATAAAAGCTGACGTGAAAAACATGGTAATTGACATTTCCGCCCTTTGCTTTTGGCCTTTCGATAGTTTTTCCGGTCACTGTTACACGATCACTCGAGAATCCTGCAGATTCCGCCGAAACTTGAAACTGAAACGGCTTTGTGGTGTCTGAACGTAGCCGCACCTCGACATCGCATCCGTGCAAAGCCACTGTTAGTAGAGCTGTAATAAGGCAGAAGTGTCGAAGTGTTTGCTCTGCTGAAAGTTGAAAAACCACCATACCTAAAACAATCCAACCACTTTTAATTAGTGAATAGTTTGGGGATGAGTTGCATTTTCTTCGCTTGAAGAAGTAGACAAAGCATGCTCATAAAGAACTTGAGCTACTGCTTATAACCTTGCACTGAATTTGTCATCACCTGAAAAGTTATATAGCAGTCGTACATGGAGAAAGTGACCACTTCAAGTTTTTAATTTACAGGAAAGGCAAAACTACAAAAACCAAATATGCAGTTAAAAATGGAAGGAGAGCAGGGACTAAACGTACGAATGGTAGGTTAGGAGGTATCATATGGGCAGTTAAATAAGCAATGGCATGTCATCTCTAGATAAAGAAAGCTATTTTTTATTCTTTTTTCTCCACAGTTCGGAAGAGAAAAGAAGGAAGGACAAAGGATAGCCTTACGTGCAGCGGAAGACTTTCTGGACCACAAGTTTGCAGAAAAGTTGAAGAAAATATTTTACTCGCAGAAAAAATCCCGCTTGCAATGGTGCATAGGATTCGAAAACAAGATTTGACATTTTAACATGAAGATAAAAGAATATAGAGCAAAAAAGGCACTGAAATTTGACTGGCAATTAATATTTTTATCTGTCGTCCTGACTCTTCAAGAGTTTTCCCAACCACTATCGTCCGACGCAGTACCGTGCCATTAAACATGAAAACGGGATGTGAAATGTTCTTATACAGTGAACTTAAATACTTCCTGTAATATTTTCGAAAAATGCCAGACCTGGAAAAAAGTACCGGACAGAAAAATACACAATTACCAAATTACCAAACTGTGGTGGCGATCAGTTCCGAAAAAGTTCCGCTTTTTGTTACACGTGCATCCCTGAAATTATCCAGTTTCGAGTGCGGGGCACCACAGCAAAGAAAACCATCTCCGTGCACACACCCTCCGGCTTAACGAGAACATTCAGGGAACTGCACATATTTTCATTCGAGAGTTGTTATACGAGATATTGTTGACCTCGCTCAACAAAATCGGCGACGCACTGCATCCTACATTTTCGTCCTTTTCTCACTTTAAAAATTGCGGCACTATATCAATCAAAATCGCAGCTCCTTTGTACTGCAATGTTGCATTAGCACACACGTTAAATCAAGCCAAGAGCTTTAAACAGAAATCGGTTTTTGCCAAAAAGTGCAAGGTAGCATATTCAAATGAGCTAACGGCATTTTGGCTTTCTGTAGCCTAATTGAATTCAATCACTGTCGTACTGCGTGGCTAATTTCAGAATTAGCCACGTAGTAGGACAGTGATGTGTAAGAAATTGTGTTGGACAACTGTATTAAATAAAATACAAGTGGTTTTAATTCACGCTCCACGTGAAAAGTACCAAAATTTCAGAACCACGACTTACTCTTCGAGCAGGATTTGCAATCTCAGTATTTGCAAGTAAGGCTTTGAATAAGAACACAACAGGATCTTAAAAATTCATGTTATCTAGGCTGCTTTATGAAGTGAAGTCAAGGTTTCACATCCGCAATATATTTGTTTTAAAAATCAAAAAGCAGGGCTGAACCGGAAAATACAATTCTGCAAGGGGTTGCAGAAAGACCAGAATTTGATTTCTGCCCTGTGGCTTCGGTTTCGGTTGGGAGATAAATACATGCACCAATAGTCTTTCTCGCCTTCCCTCTCTCTTTTTTTTGCAAAAAATCATGGTTGATGCCTAACCCGTCATAAAGCTCGACCAAGGAAAAATAATTTCGAAATAAACGTTCGGCCAAAAAATCTAAAAACCCCAACTTTTAGTTAAGTTCCAAAACCTGAACTGTCAAACCTACTCCATATTCGCTTTCTGCGAAAAGAAGGCAATCGGAAATAGCCCGATTGATAGATAGCAAATACCAAAACCCAGGCTGGAACGCACCGGGCGGGCCCGTGCGATCATGCGTTTTTGCACAGGACTTGA